ATATATATATATATATTATATGTTCTGTTCTTGGAAGGGCTTTAATTATTATGGTTTATATTATGAATGTGTTTAGAGATTGTTGATTTAAATAGTGGGAATTTGCTATTTTGATGAGATGAAAGATGTTCCTTCTGGTAGTATATATATACCAGTTTTTTTGTTTTAAACCAAATTATTTTGAAATTCATTTGAGTCAAACAATATATAAACTAAAAGTAAATAAATAAATTAAAATTAAAACTCACTTGAACGTTTTTGGTAGGGACATAAGGAGTGTCCCAACTGGAACCTTGTGTGCCATGTGGAAGGATTCGAACCTGGTTCTAGATACTTCGAGAGGCTTAGTAGGTGAAATCCGGGTGACCCATTCAATTACATAACTAAGTAATTTAGTTACTAAATCATTTACTTATGATTAACAATTTACATAGATTTGACATAATTTAATTACTCTGGTTAATGGTTAATGGTTAATGGTTAATGATATGATGTAGTTTGTGTGAATTTTCCCCAACCGATGATATCCACTCAATGTTTTTGTGTTGAATTCATGTATAAAAGGCCTGATAGATGTATGAACTATCTCTAATAGTTATGATTTTGATAGTATTGTGAAACCAGTCCAAGATTGAGAGCAATATATCATCTTATTTAGATAGATTATAGATGTATGAATTCGTTGATTCCACGTCTTAATGATCCAGCACATGTAAATACCTGTAGTAATATATAGTAACATATAGTAACATTTAGTAACATTTGCATGTGACTGTGTATTTGATTTGTTTTTATTGACTATGAGTTGATTTATAATGTAAATATGTAAACTGAACTTGATTTAACAAATTGTTACAGGTCTCGGTGTTTAAACAACTTCTAGCACTATTTTTTTGTCGAGAGGACATGGTGTTCGTCAATTCAAAATAGTTCTTTTGCGATAGATCGGAGTTGCTGTCGTGTTGAAAAGTGGGATTTGAAGCTATAAATACAAACTACACTATATATGACTATACTTTTATAGATAGTCACATGTAGTCATATACATGTAGTCATATATAGTCACATGTAGTCATATACATGTAGTCATATATAGTCACATGTAGTCATATACATGTAGTTATATTTAGTCACATGTAGTCATATATAGTCACATATTGTCATATAGATATAGTCATATATATTCACATGTAGTTATATATAGTCATATATAAGTTATGTGGTGATTCTGATGTATAGTGATGTTGATGATTGCATTTTTTCAATTTTTTGTTGGGTGCGAATTGATTTATAATATCATTATTCAAATTTTGAATTTTGTTGGAGATGCAGATGAATTTTTTTTTTATAAAATCAACGATATATATAATCGGTCGACCATAACTTTGGGTAAAAAGACAGTACATGACTATAGTCTTATATAATCATATATAGTCATATTCGAAACAGTGAAGTTTTCGGGAAAAAAAAAATCAGAAAAAAAGAAAAGCTAAAAAGAAAAAAAAAAAAACTTATATAGTCATATATAGTCATATTCGAAACAGATAAGTTTTCAGGGAAAAAAAATCAGAAAAAAAAAAAAAAAAAACGAAAATACTAAATGCAGTAGCAAAAATGCTGAATGCAGTTGGGCGAAAATTGTAAATAAGGGCACAATAGTACTTTTCCCTCTCTAGGGGGTTATCTCAAAGAAAGAATTTTAGGGGTGGACCTATCCCTATTTATTTTCCATATGAGGGGTGTATATCTAATGGACCCCAATTAATAATAGATGTTAATACTTGAATCAAAATTTCATTTATGGTATCGCTCATCATTCTTCAATTTAAGGGTAAATTAGTTGAGCTCGAGCTTGAGTCCCATTTTGACAAGTTTGAGCTCGTGGAGTGTTTTTTTTCTTTTTAGCTCGAGCCGATTTTAACGACCTCGAACTTGAGCCCAAACTCATTTGAATTTTGTTTCTATTTTATTTATAAGACAAAATGCACTTTACTACCTATAAATTTTTCATTTTCACACTTTCCCCCCCAAAATTTTAAAAAATGAATATTGGTTGCACTTTGCCCCAGAAGCCAATTTTTTAAGGGCATTCTGCAACAAAAATAACATTTTAAAGGGGCAACGTGCAAAAAAATAGTGTTTTTAAGGGGCAACGTACAACAAAAATACTCAATTCCGATGAATAGTCCATTGGAGTTTTGCTATTGGCGCAACGTGCAACAAGAACAACATTTTGTAGGGGGGCATTCACTTTAAAAAAAATTAGGAGGTAAAGTGCGAAAATTAGAAATTTACATGAAGTGATTTGCAATTTTCCCTTATTTATATTATTTTTAAAAAATATGTTATTATTATTATTATTATTATTATTATTATTATTATTATTATTATTATTATTATTATTATTATTATTATTATTATTATTATTATTATTATTATTATATTATTATTATTATATATTATTTTAAATTAAAGATAATATATAAAATAAAATAAAAAGTAGGCTCGTGCGAGAAAAAGCTGAAGTTCGATTCATTAGAAAACTCGAGCTCGAAAAATTCGCATTCGAGTTCGAGCATTTAGATGAGCCAACGAGGCTGCTCAAGTCATTTACACCTTCATTTACACCCCTACTTCAGTTAGATGTTTATTTCTTTAAAATAAATAGTTCAGTGGAAGTGTTTACAGCTATAATTATTATTTTCTGATATTTTTGAAGGATAATTTAAACATATAATTTTTCATTGATAAATTAATAAGTAACTGGATAAACATCCTCTAAAAAATTAAACTCAGAATAAAAAAATAATGATTTAAATTTATTATAATTTAGGGGTTTATAATATAACTGATGATTTTGAAGAAATTAAACAGTGAAAAAAAAAAGAACCCCAATTTCTCAAATACCAAAAATTCAGTACATTTTTTTTTTCTGAAAAATGTTACTCGGGTATGCCGACGAGCACCGGCCGCCACGCTCTCCTCAACAACCGCTGACGAACCGTCGCCGACAGCGGCCGCAGCGAGCGGGTCCCACCTCTCCTCACGCCGCCGTTCTCGCCGCCCGACGGCAGCAACTCCTCCCTCACATTCTCCGAATGCCTCTCCCCGAACGCCGGCGGCGACGACACAAACAAATCCTTCAGCTTGTGCCTCGCCGACAGCACCTTCCCCTTCTCCGGCGAGCTATCTTCTCCGCCGCTCCGCCTCCGATCGGGCGAGCCGTCTTCGCAGCGGTTAGAAAACCTTCTCCCCCCGCCGCCGCCGCCGCCTCCGCCGCCGCCGCCGCGGAGGAGCATTCGGAGGGTTTTACGGCGGCGGAGGTGGACGACAGGGCTCGTCGTGGGACTCCTGGTTGGGCTTCCAGCGGCGACCGCGCACTGGGTTGCCAGGAGCTTGAATTTCTGAAGCGTCGCCATTTTTTTTCAGGGATTAATTTGCAGAAATCGATCGGATAAATGGTGAATTGAATAAATAAGAAAAAGTTTGGGGGTATATATGGAAATAATATTTAAGGGATGAATGTGGAGAGAATGGAGAAGTGAGATCTGGGCATGTTGTGAAGAGTACTGACCGGCGAAGTATTATTCTCTCTTTCTTTATTATTATGTTTGTGTATATATATATATATACTCATATAATTAATATTATATAAATATTAAATAGATAACCTATACTTCCCCTGTTTCAACTGTCTCTTTTTTAAATTATTTTTGTTCCATATTATTTGTCACTTTACATTTCTTTTTTTTGAGTAATTCAAGTCATTACAAGGGGAAGTAGGGGAGGGGGGACTCGAACCCTAGACCTTTTACCCTATTGGTAAGGCTAGGTACCAACTCTCCTATTGAGGGTTGGTGTCACTTTACATTTCTAATAGGGTAAATATCACTTAACCCCCTTGTGGTTTGGGCATTTTGCACATGACCCCCTTGTGGTTTGAAATTAGGCACATAACCCCCTTGACCTTATGGTATGAAATTAGGCACATAACCCCTTGTGGTTTTGAAATTTTGCACATTACCCCCTTATGGTATGAAATTAACACATGACCCCTTGAATAGAAAATTGGAAAAGACTAAATTACCCCTATCAAGTCAAAATTTCTTGTTTTAATTTAAAAATAATTATTCTATAAAATAAAAGGCTTAATGTACTTTTTTGTAAAATGAGAAATATAATATATTATCGTGTTCTTTTTAATTTTACAGCACAAAAGGTATATAATACTAGTTATTGTACGATTGACAATTTATTCGATTTTAAAAATCAATTGAAAATATTTAACATGTCATTAATTATGATTATTATATTACTATTTCTATATAATATAGTATATTATAGTTGTTATCGAACTTTAATTTTTTTAAGAAACAAAGTCTTTATTTCTTTTATGAAAAATTCTAAAAAAACATTTCTCTATTGTTGAAATGAAAATGAAATTATATATATATATATATATATATATATATATATATATATATATATATATATAAATATATATATATATATTTATATTTCTCATTTTACAAAAAAGTACATTAAGCTTTTTATTTTATAGAATAATTATTTTTAAATTAAAACAAGAACTTTTGACGTGATAGGGGCAATTTAGTCTTTTTCAATTTTCTATTCAGGGGGTTATGTGCTAATTCATACCATAAGGGGGTCATGTGCAAAATTTCAAAACCACAAAGGGGTTATGTGCCTAATTTCAAACCTCAAGGGGGTCATGTGCAAAATTCCCAAACCACAAGGGGGTTATATGCCTGATTTCAAACCACAAGGGGGTTATGTGCAAAATGCCCAAACCACAAGGGGGTTAAGTGCTATTTACCCTTTCTAATACTACATTAATTGTGTAATTATCAATTTTACCCTTATTAACTATCTCCAACACTCTCTCACATTAATTATTGGCAGGGTATTTTAGTATAAGAACATATATTTTTCTAAAATTAAGCAATATTTATTGAGATCCTTAATCCTTGTGCAAAAGCTAAAAACCACAATTATAAAGGATAAAGGAACGGAGGGAGTAATTAATATTATATAAATATTAAATAGATATAAAGTGTGAATTTATATTAGTAATTGTTTATGTGTGTGTGGAATTCGAGGAGTATGGGTGAGTGAAGTGTGAATTTAGAATATGAAGGGTTTTAACTTATAAAAGGGTAAATAGCATTTCAACCCCTGTCGTCCGAAATTTGTGCACATCATTTCTTGTACTTTTAAAATAAGCAAATGAACCTCGGATTATTTTTAACATAAGCGCATAATCCCCTTGTGGTATTCCACTTGCCAAATAATCATGGTCGGTCGTTAGTAAGAGAATTTTTTGAAAATATAAGGTTATGTACTTATATGAAAGTATAAGGGGATCATGTGTTTATATTGAAATCATAAGAAGGTGATACGCAAAAGCTATTTACCCGACTTTTAAATTCATCGAGGATGTAATCTGCTTGAGTATTTCGAAAGTGCTAAGAATAAGATTGTTATGATCTCATAAAAAAATGTTATTACATAGATCTAAAGAGATTTTATTAATTTTATTTGAGCGTCGATCCAATTCACATTGAGATATTCTATATTGCACCTATACCAATCTTAATGTGATTTACATCTTATCTCACTCGATGTTACATTTACGAAATGGAATAATATATGCATAATCACTCGATGTTATATTTATGAAATGGAATATTATATGCAAAACCTGTTAGACCAATCCTGATGTGTTTACATTTCTCGCGTGGTTCGCAAATTATTACATAGAACAAACTCGTTATTCTCGTGGATAAATTACGTTTGGTACCTTCCATTATACAATCTTGGATAAATTACGGCCACCGCCTGAGGTAAGATCAACCTACGAAAAAACCTTTGGGTAATTACATCATCAACTATGAATTTTCTAAAACGTTCATCCTTGTGGTGTCAAATTTAGTGGAATCTTCTAGATTTTGTAGATATTCTCTAATTTGTACCCATTTAACTCCATTCGAGCTCCACATTTTGAAACAAGATGATCGTATGATGTGTCTGTTGTCTTGTAAATATCAGATTGTGGTGCATCAACCAACCCTCGTTAGCAGAGTTGGTACCTAGCCTTTACCAATAGGGTAAAGGTCTAGGGTTCGAGCGCCCCCCCCCCCTACTTCCCCTTGTAATGGACTTGAATTTACTCAAAAAAAGATTGTGGTGCATCATAAGCTGCATTTTTACACAAAACGAGTACAAACTAGAGAACGTTCAGCGAAATCTAGAAGATTATATTGAATTTGACATCATAAGGATGAACGTGTAAGAATATTCATAGTTGAGGGAGGTGGTTATAATTATCAAAAAATAAGGGGATTTTTTGTAATTTGATCGTATATCAGGGGTGCCCGTAATTTACCCTACTATGTGTCAATCTTTGCCAGCAGAAGAGAATCTATAATCATGAAACATCCCACATTCGGACAATTTTGGTGCTCACTAAATAGGATGTTTGACAAGAGTCCTTTTTATTGCAAATTTTAATATTTTACCCAAAAAAAGAAATTAATTGATGGGGCGTGATTTTAGTTTTGAGAAATATTTGAAGTAACAATCATTGCAAGTTCAAATCAGTTTCAAATTTCCAGAAAAAAAAAAAAAGAAAAAAAAAGGTACAATAATTGCTGCTGCTGTATTTAGTTATTATTGGAGTTTGTAACAAAATTGAAACTCAAAAGTTTTTTGAAAACTTTGATGATTTAAGACTTAATAATAGTATCTTCCTCTTTTTAGCAGAACCTTTTACATGTCAAAAATATTTGGTGCTAAATCATTCGTTGAACAAAGTTTTGCTATGTTTCGAAGCAATTTTAATGAAGTACGAGTCGGATCACAAAAGCGTCGACTAAAACAATTTAGTACTCACTCACTCACCCCACGTCGCAATATTTATCGTTTTAGAGAACTTTTTATGTTTTTAAATTATTTAACACTTTTTCAATTATGGATCAACTGCACTAATTCTAGGCGCTTTGGCCGAAATGGAAATTCAAATTCATCTCAAGAAATGCAGATTTTGCTTCCCGTAATTTGGCTTCGTGGACTTCTTTATATAGTTTGTTTACACTGCTTCCGTGATGGAGGTTTCCCTGTTTTAATTTTATTGAATGTTTTAATTATCAAAAAAAAAAAATACTTTAATTCTTTTTTTTCAAAAAACAAATAATAAATAAAAATTAATTCAACTGCACACATTCAATCTTAACTTTATCACGGAAAATTTATGAAAAATGATATCTTAATCATTTTCTATGTTTTTGATTATATATATATATATATATATATATATATATATATTTTTTTAACTTTCTTAACAAGTTTACAACAAACTCGAAAATGACAAATATTTTGGAACGAATGGATTTTCTTTTTTTACCATGTTCGTTCCAAGAAAATGCTTCAATAAGTTGTTTTATAGCCGTCTCAAACGCTTTTTAACTGGGGTTAGGGTTAATCAAACTTTCGCCTACCCTTTTCCCCCACATTTGCAATAAATTGAAATACTTCAAAGATATTACAACCTCACCAAAATTGTAACAAAAGTGGATGCGCCAAGAAAGGCTTACGTGAACCTCAAAATAGAACGTGAATATACGAAAAATGAAAAGAAATTTACACGTGCACCTGCACAATATGTACATGCGGGTCCCACCAAACTAGTAACAACTGATATCTTTGAACTATCTCGTTCCGGATTCGAGATCTTCAACTGGCAAATTCGAGGTACCGGATAACGATGAATTCATCGACAAATTGCTGTTTCTTCGAGTAGGCTGGATTTCAACCTGAGTTTCGGAGGTTTGCGCGTTGTTTGTATTTGCTCGCGAATCCTCCAACATTTGCAAATATGTGTGGGTCCTCCACCCTACATCGAATCAAAGCATCATTGCTCCATAATATTAGAATTGCAATCAATATATTTATATCGAAAACTTATTAATAATAAATCCATATATGTGCATACAGTTGCTTTTTCTTTCTCTTTTTTTTTTTAAATGAAAGAACTCGCAACCAACAACCTACCATATAGGTGCACTGTGTAAATCTCAATTATATTACAATTCCCGTTTTTTTTTTATTTGGACCGAAGAATTTGGAGGTAAGGATTTCATGAAATCAATGATAATAAATCCTTTTTGAGCTTCTAAATATTAGTTTATTGTTTATATTAATTTTACTCAGACAATTCAATTTCAAATCATTAGCTCTCAATTTGAACTAATCTTCGAGTTCTATGCTAAATTCAGAGTCGTCTGAAAAAAATCAGCTCAATTATTCATTAGTCTCTCCCGAGTAAAGAAACCACGACAAATAAGAAAAAAAAAAAAAAGACGAAGAAGAAAATACCGTGAACGTGATATGGAGGTGGGAAGAACTGCAAATAGCAGAAAGTGGCCACTACTAAGCCTGCAATAAAAAGATATACTTCCATTAAACAAAGGTAATAATATATCATTACAACTTCTTATATAAATACCAGTTTATGAAAACAAAAATAAAAAAATAAAAAAAATCCAATAGACGAACCTAGTAAACCTCCTGCAAACACATCCTGCCAGTGATGCTTATAATCATCAACACGAGAAACACCAACAAGAGAGGCGGCAAGTAGTGGAAGAAAGACGAGGCATAGTTTTGCGGCGTGACCTTTTTGATCAAACGCCTTTATCTTCCCGGATAAATACAGTGATAAAAATCCCAGCCCGGCAAATGACCCTATATGATCGAATTTCACGGTGCATTATGATTGTGATTGAAAGGATATTAACGAAGGTTTATCTCTGAAAATAGGAAAATTCGGAAATCGTAGTTTCGGAAATTGTAATAATTTTTTTTCCAAAATAAAAAAAATTCGGATTGGAATCTGCGGGATTCAGAAACTTTCAATTTTTTGTAACCTGAAATGTAAAATACATTATAATTTTGACGATTTTTAGTGTAGTTTTTGGAAAAAACAAAATCCGGATTTTTCGAAATTGAAATTAGATTGGAAATCGGAATCTCATATATATTCATATTAAATTAAAAGAAATCGGAAAAATACAAAAACGGACTTTCGGGATTCGTAAAAAAAAAAAAAAATATTGTTCAAAAAATCGGAATTTTTTTTGGATTGGAATCAGCGGAAAGCGGAAATTCCGTTCCAAGGTGAAAGTCATGAATCGTCAAATACTGCTATGCTATACTGCTATATAGAAACTCGCCGATATGAAAACAATATAAAAATTTTAAGAAGAATTTCGTGCTTACACGACGTATGCCCACTAGGAAAGCTCTTATGCCCTTCCCTTATGAGACGTTTGTCACCGTTACAAATAACTTCGCCCCATTTATCGTACAGCTGAAAAGCTATGTAACATTATTTAGGTGAATCAAAACGGGCCGTAAGTTATATCCTAGAATATTAAATAAGCAACGAATATGTATGTATAGTCCGTATATACATATGTATGTATATATACAGTTAGCTTACATCTACGCCATCTGGAAAACATCGCCAAAAGAAGTCCGGCCGAGGCCGACCAACTGCGTCTTTTATAGCATTAGTTAGGACCCCCGTTATGACAACGGAAAAAAGAATCCCTGCACAAATACACCGCTCGATTTTTAGTCGTAAATTTTGGTTATTAATCGATCACGAGAATATTTTTCGAAAAGTAGCAAAGATCTGAAATTACGAGTATACCTAACATGCCATGATGAAGATCATATACATCCCTTCGACGAAGATAGAATAGCAGAAAAATCACAACTGGCAACAGAACTGAATATATCTACAGCATTAAAGAAAGTCAAACGTATCCAGTTGACCTTACTCAAGAAACGAAGAAGTCAAAGGGTGCAATTTTGACTTACCGGGACAGCCCATATGGGAATGGTGTTGCTCTTGTGAGGGTATTTCAGATCAGACATCATATCTTTACCGACGAAGCGGTAAAACGGATGTATCAAATTCAGACCAATCCAAATGAAAACGAGGAGTAAGAGTATTATCCAGTCATGCATATGTGTCCTTGCTACTCTTACTCCATGTGACCTTACTGTATGATTTCCGAGCTGTGCTTCCCACATTTCGCTCTGGAAAATCGTAATAGAAATCTTCTTGTAAAGATAGATACAATACTATAATGCCTCGTTTGCTTAGTGTTATTAAGCTCTATGCCTCTATTAACTAAATAGTAGGGGCTAGTAAGATGTTTGGTTGATGAGATTCGTATTTAGTCAAGCCCGATACTGCACTAAAAGCCCGTAATTAAATGCTATTATTTGGTTAAGTTAGTAGCACCCTCCCCGCGATTAATTTTGTGGGGATGATTAAAAGAGAAAAAAAACAATATCTTATTTTTGTTAATTAAAAGACTTTGTAGACAATTCACATCTAATACCAGAATTTAACAAATTTAATACAAGATTTAATATGACGAATCAAACATCTTACTAACAAAACAATTAAGTAGTCAGTGGGATATTAATTCAATCTCACCTAATCCAATGTAATCCGATATAAGTAAGCAAACGAGGCCTAAAAGATCCGCCACAAACATAGTACAACAAAATTGTATAGTACTTCAAGAGCTTCATAAATCAAATTGAAGTAAATAAGGGCAACCAAGAAACGAACGGATCTTGCCCTCATATGTTTCTTTCACTTCTACAAAGGTTTAAAAAAAAAGGGGCGATCCCGAAAATTAATTTCACTACTAAATATCCAACTAATAAAATAAAACAGAAGTACTAAAGATTTATGGGTACCCGGTTGTTGGTCTTGAATTCTATCAAAGGGAAGTGCAGCTGGGAAAACCAATCACCATTGCCCGCAGAAGTATCCGGGCTCTGTATTCAAGAAAATCGAAAACTATCACCGAACACAATCTTTTAGTTATTCGTAAAGAATGCTAAGTAACCTTCGTTGAATCAAAATGTCCACTGAAGAATCATTCTATATTATAACATTGCACGGCCATTGACATTCATTTATTTCTTAAGATAGAAGTCTACCTCAATTAGTTAAAAATCGAGTCTCGCTTAAAATCAATCAGAATTACGATACGGCGAATCCAATTTATTCCCAAAGCTACTTAGGGTTCTAGAATTCAATGCTAAATTTAAACCCGATTATGAACCCAAGAAATCTATCGTACATACAATTTAGGATAACACGAGACAACGCACTAAATTAAACAAAAATTAAGAAGAAATGTAGGCAATGTCATAAGAAGAAACCCCCAAAAGAAGAAAAACCTGGAACCGAAAAAAACTTCGGAAATAGCTAAATCGAAAGGCGGATCCCAAATCCGGCCACCGCATGATTGATGATTCGACGGTGAAGAAAAAGCAAATGCAAAAACGAAAAATCGGAGCTAAATCATGCGGCCCAAATAATGTACTGTTGAAATCCGATATTTAAAAAAGACACTGTTCGTGAAAGCAACACAAATATCTTGCAAAGCAGTAGTTAAATTCGGGTCCACAAATGGTGACCCCCAGCGAAACACACCCCACCCCCACCCCTACCCTACCCCATCCCACAAATAACTGTGCAGAAATATAAATATATAATAGAGAATAGTACAGTTGACATGGGAAAAAATAGTATAAAAATGAGGGAAAAGGAAAAAAAAAATTGAACCTTTTTGGGGGCTTTTTTTTGGGGGGGGGGCGAATTTGATCGTGGGAGCGACAAACGTAATAGGGTTTGCAAACTGTGAAGCGGTGGGTATCGAGTTTCAGAATGTGACGAGGAAGATAAGTTGATGATTGTGTGTGTGTGTGTGTGCGAGTGAGTGTGTGTTTTGAGGAGAGTTCGCCACGTCAAACAAATACGGCAAGTTTTGTTACAGAGGATTTAAATTCAAAGATTTAATTGGTCTCTAATTAGGGGGCGTAAATGAGCCGAGGTTGAGTTCAAATCGAGCTGAGTTTGTCGAGCTCGAGCTCGACTCATCTTATATTTTTTTTTTTGTATAATTTTTACATAATATTAATTTTAGTTTTTATTGTAAATTATTTATATGAAAAATAAAAAAAATATATATATATATATAAACTTGTAAGCCAGTTCGTGACTCATGAGCTTATGAACAGTTAAAGATCAACTCGAACTTTTGTCGAGCAAACTTATCGAGCCCATAAGCCGACTCAACTAATTTACACCCCTAGTCTCTATTTATAATTAATGCGGTGTGATTAATTTTTATTTAGAAATTGCCATGTAAATGTATGGAAAAAAAAAAACAAATTATTTCAATGGGCGGTTATCGGCCAATAATTTGCAACCGAATTATTTCGGCAACCGTTATCCTACTCACAATTGTCGGGTCGATGATGGTTTTACATATTTGCAACTGTCGGTTGGTCGAGTCGGGCCAATATCAACCGCCTCGACCCATGAACAACCCTAGTGATTCCCGTACACAAATTACAAAATTTATCTCCCTACCTATATTCTCTCTTTCTTTCAAAATCATTTCTTTTTATATAACTAGTATTTCTTCCGGTGCGATGCACGGGGTGACAATTTAAAGTAAAGAAAATAATTATTTAAACACATGACAATAAAAATGGGTATATTTGAAGAAAAAAATAAGTGAAAACTTATCATTGATTGGAAAAGGCCAAAAAAAAAATTGTCATTTGACCATTATCCACCACATATTACCGTTGGGGGGCTTTTTTCTCTCCTAGATCAAATACCCAAAAAAACCTAGAGTTATTTTCTTCCAAAATCAATTGAATCGGCGGGCAACAACCAGGTGTTCTCCATCGATCGTTCAAATGAATCCTCTAAGGTAACAATTTTGTTCATAATTTTATCCATTATTGCGTCATTTGTTCTGAATATTGTGTCTTTTGTTCCGAATATTACGGGAACTGGAGTCGCGAAGGACGGGGAAGCTCCATCGATCTTTTGTCTTTTGTGCTTAATTGTGTTGTGCAAATACTGGTTATGAAGAACAAAGAACAATCGTCGTCGAATTTGGAAGATAATTTAATCAAATTTAGAAGATCATTTCGTCAATTTGGGAAGTGAATACTGTGGCTTTGGAAACCCTAAGTGAATTAGTAGTGAAAGCGAGATTTTAAAGTGGGAAAAGTAAAATGACATGTACACCCTTAATTCGGCAGCAATTAGCTCGAAAATACACATTCGAGACAAAGTGCACCGAATTATATATTTCTAAGGGGCAGTCTCATTTTTCTATTTTTAAGGGGGAATGTGCGAAAATGGCATTTTTTTGAGGGGTTACGCTTTTTAATATCACATTTTGTTTATGGTTTTTTTTTTCTTACTTTAATTTTTATGGAAAATAAAACAAGGGATTCATGTACACGCGAGACATGCAACCATATATGTGCACTATGGAAATGAATCTTCATTCTCGTGCAATTGTTCTAATTATACAAAGAACGTAAATCACATTAGAATAAGTTTTCTCTAACAATCTCAACGACATAAAAAGCCGTGTTGACTAAAATAATTTGAATTAACTCGATCATTTGACCACATACTTCCTTTCTCCACCAACGACACTATTTGTAAAATTTTCTAAAAGTTTCAAAATTTCTAGTGGGTGAAGCAAAGAAACGGGAAGAACAAAATTCGGGCGTTTTATGTAGGAGTGTAAATGAATCGAGCCGGCTCACGAGCTTCCGGAGCTTGCTTGAAAAAAAGCTCGTATTTGGGATTGAAAAATCGAGCTCGAGCTCGAGCTAGAACCCGAGCTTTTTGACGAGCCGAGCTCTTTGACGAGCCTAGCTCGAGCTTTATTTCAATTGTTCGACAGCTCGCGAGCTTTACCTTTTTTTATATTTTTTAATACATATTAATAATATATAATGATGGATATTATTAATAATAAATAAAAAAGAATAATATTACTTTTCTAATTGAATGAAAATTTGGTTGTGCCAAGCTCGAGTTCGGGCTCCTTTGGTATACGAGCTCGAGCTCGAACTCGAGCTCCTTAGAAACACAACGAGCTCGAGCTCAAGCTAAAAATTATAGGCTCGTCGAGCTTGAGTTTTGTAAAGTTTGTAGCGAGCTCGAGCTCGAACTCGCGAAATAAGGCGAGCTCGGCTCGTTTACGCCCCTAGTTTTATGAACAAGAAATAGCAAAGATATAGGACGTTGTTATAGCTTTTGACTCTGCAGCATGGTCCAAATAGTAAATATATTATTAAATATTTAATTAATTTTGACCATGTAAAATAAATAAATATTGTTCATAAGATTTTCAAAAAAGAATTGAATTCTTCCAAATTATTTTGGAAAGTAATATCGGATCGAAAATCTGATATTCCAATTATCATATTTATACTTCCAATTAAATAAAACAAGAATAAAAAGAAAATCGAAAATATATATAATCACAATTTTTTTAAATCAGAATGAAAAAAGCTATTGGAACTTTTCCAATCGAAATTGTTGGAAACTGGTGGAAATTGTAAAATCCGCTCTACCATTTCACCCCTAACTTTTAATAATTTCTTACAAGTTTTTTCTTTATATTTTTTCTATAATCTTAATTATTACATTCATACAATTTAAATTATCCAATATCTTTCAATGTAATACATTGTAACCTATATTAACAATCTTATAGCCATATAGATTTTGCAACAAAATGTAATAGGAATATAATTTAATGCAAATCTGATTCCACAATTTAGATTAACTCAATACCCCATATATGAAAAAAAATTGGACCATTTTCTCCCTCCTATATATACACCAATATTTCTTTTCTCTCAAACACACACAAGTTCTACACTATATATATAAATATATATAAATAACATAAAATATATCCAAAGAAGATTAATATTTATGATGAAGAAGGGTGGTGTGGGTAGCTTTGTTGCGTGGTGGGCGGTGGTGATGGTGGTTGTGCTGGCGGCGGCGGGGGTGCAGGAAACTGCGGCGGCGGATAAGATTTGCAAACCTTGGAAGCTGCTCGAAAAGTGCCTACCAGCGTTTTTCGGGGCGGAGGAACCAACGCTGGAGTGCTGCGACCAGGTGAAGGCTCAGTCGCCTTGCTTATGCGAATATCGAAGACACCCTTCGACCACGCGGTACTTCAACTCGCCCAACGCCGACAAGCTCGTCCGCGCCTGCCACGTCGGACCGAGGTTGTGTATTTTCTGACGTCGTGGATGAGTGTTTGTAGTATGGTTAAAAAATTTGATTTTGTTGAAATGGATTGTTGTGTTGTGTGCAATTTGTTTAATTTGCAATAAAATAAAATTATATATATATATATATATATATATATATATATATATATATATATATATATATATATATATATATATCACATTTTGTTTTTTTCTATTTTTTTTATATAAAACAAGGAATTCACAAATTATAAATGTGCAGTGCGTAAATAAATCTCCGTTCTCGTGCAATAGTTTGTTAAATAAGACGATGGATGTAGATGACACTAGACATAATTATGCGTAACAAACTCATCATAAAAGGTTGCATTGAGCAAAATGATTTGAACTCGATCGTCTGACTAATCGCTCTCTTTCACCACCAAGGAGACTATTGTTATGCGCTTTTTCCATATTCAACGTAGAAAGGGAAAACTTAAATATATTCCCTAATCCTAATAATTAAGTTTGGTAGTTCAGATCTTGAGTTTATGACAAACCCCTCAAGTTTGTAGGTTTTTCACTTTTGATCCCTCATTTACCACCGTAAACAAAATACACTAAAATGTTGTCAAAATTTAACATATTGGGTTCCTCCGTCTATTTGACTGTCAACAAGCAACGGTCAAAGACTAAATTAGGGCTGAATTTGAGATTTTTCATTGAGGAACTTGCAATAAGATCCCCTGTATTATTTTAATTTTTTTTAAAAACCCCTAAATTTTCATCCAACTCTAATTTAACCCCATTTTACTGATTATTCGATTTTGACCAATGACTCCAATTTTACCGTTGTTGATTTTTTTTTCTTTTTTTTGTTGAAAAAACTTTTGTACTGGAGTTGGTTATCTCTCTTTTCAAATTAATCCGTACATGCCTAACTTATCTTCCTCATATTTTTTTGGGAAAAAAATTGTGATTCACGGTCACGAAAAAAAAATTAGGAGGAATAAATTACGGATTTTTAGTAATTTTTTAAATTGTATTTTGGTCCAAAAATATTATATAAAAACTTTGTTATAATGTTGAAATTTTAATATAGCGGTGCTAGATAATAATATTGTAGTATTATTGTGCTACGGTAATAATTCTGTGTTGATCGGAAAAAAAATCAAAGAAAAAAGTTAAAAAAAAAATCAAGAAAAAAGAAAAAAAGGTCAATTTTGTTTACCGGCAATCTAGTGTTGGTGAACGGCAGCAAAAAAAAAAAGTCAATGCCGAAAAAAGTAAAAAAAAACGGTCAGTGGTGACTGTGGTAAAAATCAGGGTCATTGGTAATATTGGTTAACTACTGAAATTGGGATTAAATTAAGATTGGATAAAATTTTAGGGGTTTTTAGAATATTTTGAAATAATACATGGGTCTTATTGCAGATTTCTCAAAGAAAAATCCCAAATACAGGCTTAATTCACCGTTGACCGTTACTTCTTGACGGTCTAAAAGACAGAGGTACTCAATGTGTTAAAATGTGACAATATTAGAATGTATTTTGTTGAAAGGGCAGTAAATAGGGATCAAAAGTGAAAACATGCAAACTTGAGGGACCAAAACTGTAATTATCCCAACAAAATTACATAATCAAACTACTACTACTAAATAATGAGTTATTCTTTGGAACAGATCGAATTAGCTTTTCGGGATTTTCTTTTCCAGAAGCACATGATTCTAATTTCAATTCCAAAACTTTTGGAATCTCGAAGTTTTTTTATAAATGATGAGAGATATCAAAGGGAAATATATAGTTACTAAGTTAAATAAATAAATACTGTTCATATGTACATTTTCAAAGGTATGTGAACCTGTGGAAGGAGGTTCGACATGGGTGGTGGTGGGATTTGAACTCAATATCTTTTATTGGCCTGACTTTAATACTATGTTAAATGACCATCTCAATCAAAAGCTTAAGCTGTTAGTGAAATGTATCATTTAATATAATATATCTAATACTTTTAACTTACTTATAGAACGAGGTGGTTTTCTAACATTGTTTCATTTGTTGCAATGCAAGGTTCTCCAAACCTAATTATATTTCCTACTATATTTGATTCTCCAATTGCACTCATAAATTCCTTTTTCAATAAATTGAAATTAGTCCTTCAAATCTTCTCAAGAGATTCAAAATCTTTAGTCTAACTCTAAACACAATTTCAATGATTTGTTACTTTAAATTTGAATGCCACATTATCAAGCATTTAAATCAAATGGAACCTTGAATTAAATAAAAATTAATTAAAAAAAATGCACGCATGATATACTGATATAGACAATATTTGTTAAAACATAAAATAAAATAAAAGAATTGCCATTATAATGCAGTGACTAGGGATAATAGTGGAGCGGTACCCACAAAAAAATTGAACTATCAGAACTATTAATTTAATATATCTCAAACCAGAATCATACCAAATTCATTTAAAAAATCAATTGAAATATCAAAACTTTTCCCACGGGTACCATTTAAATCATGTTATAAGAAATAACTTTAAACGAATTATAGAAAATGAAGTAAGACGCTTCATTAAAAATGAAGTTCCACAACAGCAAAAAGATAATTATAATAGCAATATTCACTCCAATATCTTGAAAATGTAAATAATTAACTTAAGAAGTATGAAACTTAGGATATACAATTTACTAGAATCATATGGAACTTGTTATGTACTTGAACAATTCATTAGATGTTAAAGTTATATTATTCCTATGTTATTTAAGGTAAAATTATAGTTTATGTCCCTAAACTTTACCACTAAAATGATTTATGTACTCAAATATTTCAATCGACGAAATATGTCCTTTAACTTGCAACTATTGATCACTTTACGTTCAACCGTTAACGCCGGCAGCTAACTTGGACGGAAATAGCACGTGTGGCTCACGTGACGTCTATGTGGCCGTTGAATGTGACGTGGAATAATATATTGAATATTAAATGTTGACCTGGCACACGAATATACTAATTCCTTCTAACCAACTCTCCCAAATTACCAATTCACGCTTCATTCCCATAAACCCTAATTTTCCCACACCCAAATTTTCAATCCAATATGCATTCTTGGTCAAACCCATACCAAACTCGAAGTCATAAACCCATAAAAAAATCCAAACATTGTCACATTTGAAGAGTTTTTCCCTTCTCAGACGCCGCGCTGCTTTGGTGATTTCTGGAGAAGAAAATGTCAAGAAAGAGTGAATCCGGCCTTCAGTGGACTCCAAACTACAGTAAGTATCCTTAACTTTGTAGCTATGTTGTTAAATTGTGTGAAAATGTGATTTTTGTTTTGTCTAATTTTTGTTTTTTTTTTGTTTTTTGTTTCCACACAAACATTCAAAAACTTGAGAAGACGATTCTGTTATTTTCGAATTTCACCATAATTACGGGTTAATTGGGGATATGCAGAATCAGGGATTTTAGAATAGAAATGGGGGAGGAGATTGACGTGTCGCTCCACATCACGTTTCATCGGTCAAGTAGACACTGGGTGTTGTCCAGCTCGACATTTAACGGCCACATAGACATCACGTGAGCCACACGTGCTATTTCCGTCAAAGTTAACTGCCGGCGTTAACGGCAGAACATAAAGTGATCAAAAGTGGCAAGTTAAAGGACATATTTCATGGATTGAAATATTTGAGGACATAAATCATTTTAGTAGTGGACATAAACTGTAATTTTCCCGTTATTTAATATATATATATAATGGTCGAGTACCGTTCGTTACCTATGGGGTAAAATCAGAACCATACCAAGAACGTGAAAGTTTGTATTTATTTTACCAAAACTGATCCGACCGGATGAATTTTATACAAAATCTTTTTGAAGTGTTTTGGAGAGTTTGGAATGTAGAGTTTGTGTTTGTATGAGAAATGCAGATAACTGCAATACATAGAATGACTGGACTCGTGTCGGGGTACGAGCAGGTTTGGTTGGTAATTCTAGGCTCGGTCGAAGGTGATAAAAAATTCTCTGATCACCTCCAAAGATCCTGGATCCTCGAATCTATTCCGTCTAGGACTTGTTCATCGTTTAATCTGCAAAAGAATTGGAAGAGGTGCTCCTGACGTTACCACTCTGACTCTCTAGTCATAGCACCTCTCAGATTCAGGATATATTCGATAAAAACAAAGAGAGAGAAAGAGAAGTGATTATGTATCTCTCGTTTCTATTGTTGTTGTCGTGTCCTTGAATAAGAAGATATAAACCTCTATTTATAGTAGAGATATTTTGTGCATTTCATTGACTTTATTCAGATCAATTAATAAGCTTCATTCAAGTTAATGATATTTTTATAAGTCTTGGTGATTAAGTCATGAGGTAGCACTTACCACATACTGCTCGTCAGTTATTCTCTGCTCGTCACCCGTCTACTCGTAGAATATTCTTTGTTCACCTTTTGGCTACTCGTCGCTTATTCTTTGTTCGCTACTCCTCAACTACTCTTTACTCGCAGGCAATCTTGACCTACTCGGACAATCTTGTGCTCGCGCGTATCCTATGTTCGCTTTATTTTCTTCTTTGGGCATGAGCCAATTTAATTGGGTTTGTTCTTACTGGGTCGTGTCAAATCTGGTCGAATTAAAATTCATTACCAAACCAATGTTTTAAGAACCGGACCGGCTATAGAACCGGATGATCATTTGGGTCACGGGTTTATAGGGTCGAACCGGTTCAACCGAGTTTTTGATTTTTTTAATATGCCATTATTTTATTAATTTTAATGTTTTAAAAATATTATTTTCTTTATATTTTTAATCTCCGGGTTGTTATTTTCACTTTTATCTACTTCACATCACTTTTTATTATATTTTATTGCTTATACTCTATATTTTTCCATTTTTTATTCTTCAAATCCGGCAGTCGACCACCCCTATTCGATCACCCATGATCATATCCGACAATCATTCGACCACGCATGACTAGATCCGGCCACCCACTACTAAGTATGTGAAGGTTCGATCAATTCTAGCCACAAATAACAAACTCAACGGTGATTCGAGACGTTTTGGTCGAAAACCGGGTTCCTATTGGCAACAACCATTCATTGTGCTTTTATATTTCCAATACCAATATATATTACAGCACCTAGAATTTAATGGCTGCTGATCCAAACCCGACCCGGATTGGTTAAATTCAGCCGCAGCACAGACTCTGCCCGTTTTCATACACCCAAGAAAAAAAACCATTAATGCAAACCTCATCCACAATTTCAAAATCACGAATTTCCAATCAAAGCAAAATATATTTGACCGTTTTGCCCATCACCAACTCACCCCCACCTCTCCTATTTATACACCACCATTTCTTCACCCTCAAAAGACACAATTTCTACACACACATACACACCTACATCCTATAACATACTTTTAATTTGCTATATAATTATATATACATCTCTGAGAAGATGAAGAGTGGTGTGGCTAGCTTTGTTGCCTGGTGCGCGATGGTGATGGTGGTTGCGCTAGTGGCGGCGGAAACGGCGGCGGCGGCAAACTGCAACCCTATGGAGCTGTCACCGTGCCTTGGGGCGATGATGGGGACGGATAACCCTTCGGCGGTGTGCTGCCAAAAGCTCAAAGAGCAGGTGCCTTGCTTCTGCAACTACCTAAAGAACCCCACGCTCCGGCAATTCATCGACTCGCCGAATGCAAAGAAGGTCGCCGCCGTGTGCGGCCTACAACAGCCGTCATGTTGATCGGAGAATCTGTATTACTCTCATATGTAGTCGTTGATAATAATAAACTTTGTCGTAACTGAATATTGTTACGTTACGTATTGTGTGTCTACGTGAAGTAGATATGTACCACCTCTCCTTTTTTAGCAATAAAATAAATTTGTAATTTCATTTTTTTTTTCTGATTTTATGGTTAAGGTTTTTATAAGTGATAAAATCTGGACAAGCATTTATGAAGAACAAATTATTTAAAGTACTTAATTACGCAGGACACAAATTTGGAGTAGGGCACAAGTATATAAAGAATAGGATAAAATGCACTTCACCCCCTACAAATTTTCCATTTTCGCAATTTTCCCCCTAAAAATTCAAAAAGTGGATAATCCCCCCTCGAAATATTATATTGATTGCACTTTGCCCCAGGAGCCAATCTTTGGTGGGTATTGTGCAACAAAAATAACATTTTAAAAATGCAATGTGCAAAAAGATAATGTTTTTAAGGGGTAATGTGCAATAAAAATAACATATAAAGCGGCAATGTGCAACAAAAATACTCAAATGCTGATGAATAATCCATCGAAATTTTGCTATCGGGGCAATGTGCAACAAGAATAACATTTTGAGGGGGGCATTTACTTTTTAAAATTTTGAGGAGGTAAAGTGCGAAAATTAGATATTTTTAGGGGGTGAAGTGCAATTTAATTTGCTATTAGTAGAACTTTAATTATGTGAGACGACACATCTATAAACCAAATTAGAGGAGCATTTCTAATTTTTTAGTGTTCATATAAACAAATTTCTGCGAGTTTGTTAGGCCCATCATCAAATGATGGCTAAAATTCAAATCGAGTAAATAGGACTAAAAATATTAATTTTGCGTAATTATTGTATGTAAAATTGATATAAGAGAACTTATAGGACTAAATCCCTAAAGAGACCAACATATAGGATCAAAATTACAATTTTCTCATTTGATTAAATAACTATCCATCAAGCACACATACACGTGGATATGTGTGATTATGTATAGATATATAGTTCAAATTCATCATATATAAATAACCAGATGTATCATCTAATTTCTCAAACTTATAGTATGCCTGGGCGGAACCGGAACAATTTAATTGGGATACGATTTATTTAAAATAGTTAATTTCTTTAGGCACCATACATCTGCACAAAGAAATACACACCATCTGATTAGAGGATGGTTCTTTATCTAAATCTATGGTAAAAAAAATATATAAAAAAAATTGGTGTATATATTTCAATTGCTTTAGTGTTTTCGCATACCATCCAAATTGACAAATGCTTGGAGTTTATTTTGGTCAATTCATTTTACAATAGATTTCATACCTAATTCACACTAGAACTAGTGTGTAATGAAGAAACTTGCAACCAACCATATATATAGGTAGGACTGGACTGAGTTGGTTTTTACTCAGCAACCAACTCATTACCGACCATATTATCAGGCGGATAATATATTTTTAACCGACCTATTGAATCGGGTCGAAATTTCGACCAATCCATCTGTAATAGATCGATTGAAGGTTTCTAATATTATCGAAAGTTGGTTGATCGATAAGTATCGATCAACCAACTATAGTGGTAAAATTTTATTAAACAAATATAAAATAAAGGTTGTTGTTTTTTTAAGTGGATATTGTAATTACCAAAGTTAGCATTTTAAATTAGGGTCCATTTGATATACACCCTTAATTTGGAAAATATATAGGGATAGGTCCACCCCTAAAATTCTTACTTTGAGATATAACCCTCTTGAGAGGCTAAAGTACTATTGTTCCTTATATCAATTTTCGTCCAACTGCATTCAGTATTTTCACTAACATCATTTAGCATTTTGGACCTGCATTTATCATTGTTACAGATTTTTTAATAAAAAATTATAAATGTTTATTTTATTATTAGTTTATATATTTACCCTCTTTTGTATTTTTTAATTTTTTTAATTTCTTTAATTATTTAATTTTTTTTATTTTATAATTTTTTTTAATTTAAAAGAAAATTTTGATTTTTAATTTTTTGATGTTTAATTTTTTTTTTCAAATTTTTGATAAATTTATTGTATTGAAATTGACTACACATGACTATTGTATATATACTACATATGATTATATTGTATCATAGTCATGTATAGTTAGTTATATGTAGTCATGTACTTTTTTTTTTACACCAATGTTATGGTCGACTGATTACGTGGACCACTGATTATATAAAAAAAAAAAACTTCATCTACATCAAAAACAAAATTCACAATTTGAATCTTGATATTATAAATCAATAAATACCCAACAAAAAATTGGAAAAACACAATGTCAACATCACTATACATCAAAAAAAACACATAGCTTATATAACTTATATATAACAATATATTACTACAAGGTACAACACGTTACTATATATGACTACATGGGACTATATATGACTATATGTATATTACCAGGTATGAATATATATGACCACATGTGACTATATATGACTTGATAACGCAAATCTCTCCAACACCGGAAATGGTATAGCCAACTTCCGATCTGAAAAACATTCTGCAATTGCATTACCCGTGCTCTTATTGGGAAAAAAGAAAAACCAATCATAAATAAAAATTCGTGAGAAACATGGTAAAAACATCACTTAAACAAACAAGAATTCACACGAGCCTATGGCAAAAAGCTATTAAACCTTTCCATCAAAAGAAATGCAAGAAGGAGGGCTACATAAGCTTCTATACTCATTTTATCTGCTTCTTCCTGTCCCATAACATGGATTCTTCATCATCCTGCACAACAAAACAAAATTTCATATGTCACAGACACTTTGTATAACATATAAATTTGAAAACACTGTCTCACCGAGCACAAATATTTTCCATTGGCTCGATTAGCCAGAAAGATAGCACACAGAAGAGAAATCACATCCACTTGATCCTCCAATTTCAAACCATTGATTCAAAAAATTTATGGAATTTTTTTTTTTAATTTATGAACTATCAAATGACATGTTTGTCAATGACCCAAAAAAGGCAAAAATTCTTCTTGACATTAAATGAACGCTACAATACCTAATAATTTATGCATCAAAAAATTAATCGAAGCACTTCTAAACAATTATATTGCTACATTAAGTAAAGTGGAAAGAATATAGTTTTTTAAATGAAGTCGATTACTTACCGTCACATTTCACAATTAAATTGTAACACAATATTTGTACCGTAGCACATGTATATGTTGCGCTTCTTCCTCTTCTTCGTCGGCGCCAGATCTGGCGAGAAAGAGTTTAATGGGAGAAGATCCGGTAAATGGGGAGTGGTGATGGGCGGCGATGTCGCCGAAAATTAAAGGAGAGCGGCACAAGGCAGACGAAAAGCGGCGGCGGGCGACGGTGGAGTGCCGGTGGGCAGCGGCGGCCGACGATGGAGTGCCGGTGGGCGGCGGTGGGCCTGTGGTAACGAGAGATTGAAGAAAACGGGAGTTGAGAGAGAGAAAAAAGAAACGTAGTCTGGTTAAATTGTGAGGCTAGGGTATACATTAAATTGAAACTAAAAGGGAAAAACAGGTATTTTAAATTGTCTAGGAGGTCTAACAAATTAAGATCAAAATTTGGATTTTTGCCTAGGAAATAAAATATTGGACCTATACATATATATTTTCAAAACTATGGGGTATCCCTCATTTTCAACAAGGAAAAAAAAGTTTACATAAATCTTACACTAGAATTTTATAATTATATTTTTTTTTGTCGAATTGCTATTAACTCTTTTGAACTGATAAACGATCATGGCGAGTGGCACTAGGCATAATGTGCATACTTTTACTTCAAATTTTGAATTTGTTGAAGTAAACTACGTAGCGGGTATAATCATCAACCAACCCATTTCGGAAACCGAATATTTGGTTGTCAATGATCAGCCGACCCACAAAGGTTGTGTCGGCAATGATTTTCAAAATTGAGCAAATTTAATTTTATTGGACATATCAGTTTTTACACTGGTAATTGACTGACATATATATAGGTGCATTGCCTAACCTACACTCTCGTATAATATAATAGTTAATTTGCAAATCATATGAAAGACGTGAACTACACTAGACTAACCATGTGTGACAAACTCGATCTAACAAACGCGTTACGTTAGCAAGGATATTTGAACTTGAATCACTTCACACAAACTTATTTGCTCCAACTGCTAAGGTCATCCTGGCGAGATAGTGTTTTGAGTTATATATTGTGTGATTTGTATTGAAATCTATTTGTATAAAAAATAATAAATTGGATTAATATTCCCTGAAATTAAATCTTTTCAAGAAATTTAATTCTTTAGTCCAAGCACAATTTATTCAATGATTTGTTACTTGAAATTTGAAACCCATATTTTCAAGCATTTCAATCCAAATGGAACCTTGAAACAAATAGATGCACTCATGATATATACTGTCGGAGATATTTTACCAACAGCTTAAGCTTTTGATTAAGATGATCATTCAACATCGTATCAGAGCCATACCAAACAAAAGGTTCTGAGTTCGATATTTCATTAACAGCTTAATATTTTAGTTGAAATGGTCATTCAAAATATACCACATGCATTAATTTATATTACCCAAAATTTAATGACTGCTTATCCAAACCCGACCCGGATCCGGATTGTTTGAGCACAGCTCATACACAGGAAAAACCATTAATGCAAACCTAATCCACAATTTAATTAAAATCTTTAGACCGTTTTGCCCCTCACCAACTCACCCCCACAGCTCCTATATATACACCACCATTTCTTCACTCTCAAAACACACAACTTCTACACATACATACATACATACATACATTCATATATAACATATATACTTTTTCCTATATAACTATATATACATCTCTGAGAAGATGAAGAGTGGTGTGGCTAGCTTTGTTGCCTGGTGCGCGGTGGTGATGGTGGTTCTGCTGGTGGCGGCGGAAACGACGGCGGCGGCGAACTGCAACCCGTTGGAGCTGTCACCGTGCCTTGGAGCTATAATGGGGTCGGGCCAACCGTCGGCCGAGTGCTGCCAAAAGCTCAAAGAGCAGGTGCCTTGCTTCTGTACCTACCTAAAGGACCCGACGCTCCGTCAATTCATCGATTCGCCGAATGCGAAGAAGGTCGCCGCCGCGTGCGGCCTACAGCAGCCGTCGTGTTGATCGGAGAATCTGTATTACTCTCATATGTAGTCATTGATAATAAATTTTGTCGGAACTGATTGTTTTTTGGCAATAAAATAGATCTTTAATTTCACTTTTTTCTTATGATTATTTTTTCTTCTTTTATGATTAAGGTTTCTAGTTATCAAACTTGGACTAGAATTTATGATGAACAAATTATTTGAAGTACTTAATTCCGTCGGTTAAGATAGTGATGGACACATGCTTGAATCAGTTAGTATCAACGGAAAATTGACGCATAAAAAATGTTAAATTATTAAAAAATGACGGACTAAATCTGTTTTTTTGTTAATATGAGGGACCTAATATAAGATTGAGAGAAACTCGAGTGGTGAAAAGTGTAATTTTCCTGTGATTATTAGATTGGGAGGCTGATCTGGAACAATGACGTTTTCTTTTATGAATGAGGAGAATATAATCACCTTAAATGACTAGATATATAAATGGGGTAAGTTACGGCCATCCCCTGATGTAAGGTTAAATTACGAAAAATTTGTTCATGTTTGGATAGTTACAACCACCCTCCTCAACTATGAATATTTTTACACATTCATCCTTGCGGTGTCAAATTTAGTAGAATCTTCTAGATTATATGGAATATTCTCAAGTTTGTACCCGTTTTATCTCATTCGAGCTCCACATATATTGAAGCAAGAAGATAATAAGATGTGTTTTTTGGCTTGTATATATTAGACTGTGGTGCATCATAAACTGCATTTTTGCACAAAATGAGTACAAACTAGAGAACATTCTATGAAATGTGGAAGATTATGTTGAATTTGATACCATAAGGGTGAACGTGTAAGAAATTCATAGTTAAGGGGTAGTTGTAATTATCCAAACATAAATGATTTTTTTTGTAATTTGACCTTACTTCAGGGGTGGTTGTTATATATATATATATATATATATATATATATATATATATATATATATATATATATATATATATATATATATATATATATATATATATACTATGTTACATTGGGCAGATCTTTATCTTTCAAAAGCACAAACACACAAACACACACATCAGGGCGTGTAGATCAAGGGAAAAATCTGTCCAATGTAACATTCACCGAGTGTAGCATGGGAAAAGCCATATATAATTAATTTGAAATTCACAACAAGAATTCAAAATATAGTTGAAGATGAAAGATAATTATTTGAAGTTTAAAGTAAAATCTATCTATCCAAATGAACTTAAATGGTATGTGTGTGCCAATATCTATCTCACTAGAGTTTTTGCTATTTGGAGATTATACACAATATTTCTCAAAAAAAAATACAAATTGCCATCAGAATGCTATGACAAATTCAATTGTGCATATTGGCAACAACCATTCATTGTACTTTTCTCCTTCCATTTACGAGTTGGTCCGTGTGACAAATATCACTATAGAATTTAATGGCTGCTAATCCAAACCCGACCCGGATTGGTTAAATTCAGCCCGTTTTCTCATACACGTACCCGAGAAAAAAACCATTAATGCAAATTGCAAATCACGAATTTCCCATAAATAAAAATTGGACCGTTTTGCCCTCACCGCTTCTACATATATATACAGCACCATTTCTCCACTCTCAAACCACACAATTTCTACATACACACATACATACATCCATATTTTTTTGCAATATACATATATCTCTGAAAAGATGAAGGGTGGTATGGCTAGCTTTGTTGCATGGTGCGCGGTGGTGATGGTGGTTGCGTTGGTGGCGGCGGAAGCGCAGGAAACCGCGGCGGGGGCGAATTGCAACCCTATGGAGCTGGCACCGTGCCTTGGGGCGATAATGGGGACCGATAACCCTTCGCCCGAGTGCTGCCAAAAGCTAAAGGAGCAAGTGCCTTGCTTCTGCAACTACCTAAAGGACCCAAGGGCGGGCCAAATCATCGACTCGCCTAACGCCAAGAAGATCGCCGCCGTCTGCGGCCTACAGCGCCCGTCGTGTTGATTGGAGAATCTGTAAATTAAAAATAAACTTTGTCGAAACGGGATTGTTGTGTGTCTCTATGTTAAAGTAGATATATACCACCTCTTTGTTTGACAATAAAATTGAATTTTAATTTCGCATTCTTTTTAATGATTTCTTTTTTTCGTTGAAAGAATTCAATGCTGCCGAATTCGTGTAATTTAATATAAAAATATAAAATTAGACATTTAGACCAATGATTTGATAAAAACTTATAGAAAGAAATGTTTTGCAGCAAAAACAACACAAGTTTTAAATCACTATTTAGAAATATATAACTTGTGAATATGTCTTTCTTTACACGCGAAAACTTTATTGAAATGATATTCGAAGAATACACAAAGAGAAGTAAAGATCTTCTCTTTGCTGAAGAAATCACAAGTCAAAGCGAGGCCGAAAAAAAAGTTCTGAAAAAAGAATATTTAAAAAAAAATGAAAATGGGGTGAATGTGATATATTTGTTAAATTTAGGTTCAATGTGCAATATTGTAATGTTGAAGTTAGAGTTTAGTAGATGAAAGTAATTTAAATTATATCCAGAGAGAGGGGGTATTTTAGGAGATAAAAAAACATGAAAGATGAATTTATATATAAAACTGATTTTGATGTGGACATATATACATTTAAGTCCTCATCTTTGAGGTTATATTCAATTTCGCCCAATTTATATACTCAATAAAGAACGAGGACCTTGACTAAAACTTTTCTCATCCAGTCAAGTTTTTTGGTACTCATCTATTTTGTGACGTGGCAAGATAGTGAGGGAGGTGATTTAATGCGAGATTATAATTGGATCGATTAATTCAATTTACGGAAAAATACAGTTTATTTCCCTCAAGTTTGTATTGATTTCATATTTGATCCTCCATATTTATAAAAAAATATATTGGGTCTCTCATATTTCAAAAGTTCAATACTTTCAGTCATCTCTGTCAATTTTTTCAATTAGTACTAACGGAATCAAGCGTGTGTACATTATTACCTTAACTAACGGTAAATTGACGGAAATGACTAAAAGTGTTAAATTGTTGAAACATGAGGGTCTAAATGTGTTTCTTGTAAACATGAGGTACCAAATATGTAATCGATGCAAACTTGAGGTGCGAAAATTGTAATTTTCCCATTCAATTTAGCTATCCATAATTTATTATTACTAAATAAAATTCGATACCCAATACAACACGGACGCTTAAAACATATTTTACTTCAAATAAAAAAGGCAATGTAGCAGTAAACACAAAAAAAAAAGTAAATAGCACTTAACCCCTTGTGGTTTAGACATTTTGCAGATCCCCTTATGATATAAAATTAGGCACATAACCTCCTTGTGGTTTGGACATTTTGCACATGGCCCCCTTATGGTAAGAAATTAGACACATAACTCCCTTGTGGTTTTGACATTTTGCACATAACCCCCTTATGGTATGAAATTAGGCACATAACCCCCTTGAATAGAAAACTGGACAAGACTAAATTACCCTAAAGTTTTGCAAAATTGCAACCATACCAACGGTTCGTTGGTTACTCTATTAAGTCAATTTTTTTTGTTTTAATTTAAAATTAATTATCTATAAAATGAAAAGATTAATGTATTTTTTTGTAAAATGAGAAATATAATATATTATTGTGTTTTTTAAACTTTACAGCACAAAAGGTATATAATACTAGTTATAGTACAATTGACAATTTATTCAATTTTAGAAATCAATTTGAATTTTTTTAATATTATCATTAATTATGATTATTATATTACTATTTTCTATATAATATATTATATTATAGCTGTTATCGAATTTTATTTTTTTAAGAAACAAAGTCTTTATTTTTTGTTATATTTTTGGAAAAATCGAAAAAAACATTTCTCTAAAGTTGAAATAAAAATTAAATTAAAAAAAATATGTGTTGTAAAATTAAGAAAAACACAATAATATAATATTTCTCATTTAACAAAAAAGTACATTAAGCTTTTCTTTCTATAGAATAATTATTTTTAAATTAAAATAAGAAATTTTGAGTTGATAGAGTAACCATCGAACAGTCGGTATGGTTGCAATTTAGTTTTTTCCAGTTTTCTATTCAAGGGAGTTATGTGCTATTTTTATACCATAAAGGAGGTCATGTGCAAAATTTTAAAATCACCAGGAGGTTATGTGTCTAATTTCATACCATAAGAGGATCATGTGCAAAATGTCAAAACTACAATAGAATTATGTAGCAAATTCCATACCATAAAGGGTCATGTGCAAAATGTCCAGACCACAATGGGGTTTAGTGCTATTTACCCTAAAAATATATATATATAATTTTTTTAATTTTTTGACTAAATTAGTCAATGGCAGTCACTGAATGCTGAACAAAAGTGCATTTATTTCATTATTATACTCCCAACGAACTAGCATTAAAACTTGGACTCCACGATGTAAATGAGAATTCAAATACAAACAGCGCAGACATTGTGACGTCATCAAAATGCCCCTTGGCTTACCTGAGGAGCTACATTAACACGCATGCATGCATGCACGCACGTGTTTCCTTTTGTTTGAACTGATCTCATGTGAATATACTTTTATTCCACTTTGGTGCTTTACTTTTTATTGTATTTCTATAATACAAAAAATAATTTTTTTTTTCTCTGAGTTATTATTAATTTGTTTGCCATAAGAAAAAATGTATGGTATAGTAAACCTTAAAGAGTTCGAGTGGATTCAAAAAAATATATATACACTTAAAAATATTTCGTTTAAATGAACACTATGATACTTGCGACTTTAATTTATTTATAATTTCTTTAATATTTTCGTCAATTTTTTTTCACAACTTTCAAAAATACTCCTAAAATTTGTAAATGATTTTTTTAACTATGAAGTTCTTACATATTTGTATTTTTTATTTGTATACTATTTATTAAAAAATCGGGGTGCTGCCATCCGAACACTCGTAAACTTTTATTAGCCCATCATTTATATCAACTGTTATTTTAATATTTACTTAATTTTGAACATTCTCGACACAAATCCTAAATTTGTCACTGGAGACAATGTAAACTTTCAGTATAATCCAATTTTTCCCGTATACCTATATGGAGCTGCGGATTCCTTCATTACAAAAGAAAAGAAAATCACAGATCTACTGGAGGAATTTTGTTATAAGAAATACGTCAAAAATAATTTTGCAATTGACATTTACTCTTAAGATTATATCTCAATTATCTCAAATTAAATATGAATATCCTCTAATTTAATATCATACCTCATATTTTACTTTATCATTACACCTAATATAGATAAGATATACAAAATTAAATTAAACTAGATAAATGCAATATCAATAGGAATACAGATTTTTGGCACTTAGTGAACTAATCAAAACGTATTTTCGCCACCCATTCACATATAAAATGCGCACCATTGTTCATTATTTAAACGCCCTTATTTCCTCTATCAATATTTTCTTCGATTTAACAACTAATATTTTTTTTTATGGTTTACAAACATTAAATAATATTGAGAATCTCCCATATATATCTTCTATTAATTTAATCACCAAAAACATGGATAATATATATGAATAATTAGCATCCACCTTTAACGAACCATGACAATTTGACAACCACAATTTGAATATAAAAAGAATTGGCCTTCCTTTCCCCTAACTGTTAATTATTTAATAACTATACCTCAAATATTTAAAATGACGACTTTTAGTAAATGAAAAGACATTTTATTTAAAACAAAAATCTATCTTCACTCTATCATCTTTTTTCTTTCAAAACATTTTTTAGTAAGTTTTCAACGATATTACCAATAATTAGTCATCAACAACATGAATTTACCAAATTTGTAAATTAATACACTTGAAAGTGAGACAATTTTCACGGGGCTGAAACCTATCTTTTCGTCAATTTTTACATATGAAACAAATGTCTGCCACTCGTAATTGGGTCTGTCGTAGATGCGAAAGCGACAAATTTGTGTTTATCACAGACGCGTAGACAACAAAGTTGCACCTCACCAGACACAACGACAACGAACTTGCACATACCACAAGCTAAATTTGTTTACACTGATTTAAATCATCTTAACTCAAAAATTTAACTAAAGTTTGTATTTTAATGCAACAAAATCTTCCAAACAAATCTTTAGGATAAGTAAAAGAACTCTATTTTTCAAGCAAGACAAATCCATGAACAAGTTTCAAAATTAAGAAAATTTTCCGTAATTTAATACTAAAACATCGGAAAAAAAAAGTTTAAATTCGAATTTCAGCAAACATTGCATGTACTATAATAAGTTTAAATGTTAGAGCCGAGTTGTAGAATTTGTATTTTAAATCAATATCGCATAGATGAAAAATTAAAATTAGTAAAATATCCTACATTTACTTAAACTCGTCCTGCATTTATTATTTTACTATGGAAAATAATATTGAGGGTCGGCCAATAAAGGTGTCCAAGTTCGATGCATGCAATGAAAGCAAACAGCACTAATTAGTAATTAGGTAGGAAACCCCACGGATAAGGCCTCCACCAAATTCGCATTTAACCCGTTATTTTATTTTTTTTATTTATGGTTTATATTTATCCAATTTATATGGTACTCCTATTTATAAAATTGGATCTGTGCCAGGTCAGCGTCGCCTCAGACTTGACCCGACCCTGCACGAGATATTCATCCGCCACGTGTCAAATCTTCACCTCTATTTATACACATACGCGGCGCAACGTTTTCTCCACGCTTTTCTTGCTCACTCACTCTCTCTCTCTCTCTCTCTCTCTCTCTCTCTCATCGCTGATAATTTTTTATTTCCAGAAAATTAGGCTCTAATCAGTTTCTGGGAGAAAGATTGATTTTTTCTTTTATTTCATTTTTTTCTACCCTAACAAGAACTTCTGCGCATGGCTGCCGGTGATCTCTCTGTGATCTTGCCACGTGTTCTTATTGTTTCCAGACGAAGCGTTCGTAAGAACAAATTCGTCGATTTTGTAGGTACGCTGCGATTTTTATTATTTAATTTTTCTTTTCCGTTTTCGTAATTCAATTTCCAGATTTCAATGTACGAATTTCCGATTCAATTTATTTTCCAGAGTTTGTTTTGAAAAAAATAACCGGTCGTATAATTTTAATTGAAAAATTGCAATAAAATCGAGACGAAGCGTTCGTAAGAACAAATTCGTCGATTTTTTAGGTATGCTGCGATTATTATTATTATTATTATTATTATTATTATTATTATTATTATTATTATTATTATTATTATTATTATTATTTTCCGTTTCCGTAATTTAATTTCCAGATTTCAATGTACGAATTTCGATTCAATTTTTTTCCAGAGTTTGTTTTGAAAAAAATAGCCGAACGTATTATTTAATTGAAAAATTGTAAATAAATTACGCAGGCGAATAACCAACTTTTGTACACAATTATTATTTTTAATTTTGTTTTGCCCTTTTTCTGAATTTAATTTCCAGATTTCCTGGATATAATTTATTTTTTTCCGATTGAATTTTCCAGAATTTGTTTTGAAAAAAATAACCGACTAATTATTTGGAGTGAATTTATGAAAATCACGCAGGCGAATACCATCTAGATCTGATCGTAAACTATGGAGCGGTCCCTGTGATCGTGCCACGTGTCACCGGCGTCCACATGATGCTGGAGAGCTTCGAGCCGATCCACGGCGTCCTCCTCTGCGAAGGCGAGGATATAGACCCATCGCATTACGAATCCGACATCGCGAATCTCTCCGCCGACGAGCTGGAAGAGATCCGCCGCCTCCACGCCAGCGACACCGCCGTGGACAGAGAAAAGGACGCAATCGAGTTAGGGCTCGCGAAGCTCTGCCTCGAGAGGAATATTCCCTATCTCGGAATATGCCGCGGCTCGCAGATCCTAAACGTGGCCTGCGGCGGCACGCTGTACCAGGACGTCGGCAAAGAGCTCGAGAAGCACGTGCCGGAGAATCAGAGGGTGGTGCACATGGATTACGACAATTACGACGGGCATCGGCATCCGGTGCGAATTGTCGAGAATACCCCTCTTGAGCAGTGGTTTAGTGACTCTTTGGACGGTGGGAGGAAGGACATTTTGGTAAATAGCTATCACCATCAAGGGGTGAAGAGATTGGCTCAGAGATTTGTGCCTATGGCTTTTGCTGCAGATGGTTTGATTGAGGGTTTTTATGACCCGGATGCTTATAACCCGGAAGAAGGGAAGTTCATAATGGGGCTCCAGTTTCATCCCGAGAGGATGAGGCATCAAGATTCCGATGAATTCGATTACCCCGGATGCCCTTTTGCTTATAAGGTGAATTCTTTTGATCCTTTGTAGTGTTATTGATTTTGTTTTTACTATCGAAATTGGAATGGAATTTTCGAATTCTGTCGACTGTGATTCGAATATTTTCGGTTTTGGACGAATTCCGATTTTTCATTTTTTTCCGAATTTTGTTTGGAAGGTATTGGAATACGTATTAGATTCAGATTTCCGATCTGATTTTAAATTTTTTAAATATTTTCAAAATTTCCACACACACACAAAAAAAAATGTTCCAACTTTTTTATTATAGACAACTAAGAAATTGGAATTCCGGACTTGTTCGATTCTGATTAAAAAATTTTCGATGTCGGAATAAATTTTATCATTCCAATTTTTGAATTCCGATTTTGCGGGAATGTGATTGGAATTAGTTGTGAACTTCTGGATAAAGTTGGAGATTTTCAGAAAGTGCTAATTCCGATACGATCTGTCCGATTCATGTTTTTTATTTGCGTCTTTACGTTTAATTTGGTTGAATGCTACACGAGTGTAATAAAGTTTTAACAAATGTTGCAGGAGTTTGCAAAAGCAGTGATTGCGTATCAGAAGAAGCTTAATAACAGCTTGACAAGTGTGCCAAAGCTTCTAAAGCTTGATGGTGAGATGGAGAGGAAGAGAAAAATTATAATCAGAAGCTTTTCGCTTGCAAGAAACATATACGAGGGAGGAAACGGGAACAATCCTTCTAAAGAATCCGAACTCGAGGCCGGAGCAGAGTTTCTTGAGGTACACTCACACGTACAATTAATTGCATTAACACACACACACACACTAACATTATGTTATGGCAGCAGTTAGGGGTGGAAATTGGAACTCAATTTCCGATTTCAACCCATTAGTTACGAAGTTTTCTAATTTTGGAACAATGTTTCTTTTTCCAATTTTTCCAAAAACATTTTGGATCAGAATTGGAATCTATGTGGAACAAGATATCTCATTCCGTCTTTTTGAAATTCCCATTTTCAATTTGTTTTTGGAATTGAAATGGAACTCGGTTTTCAATTCCGAAGAAAAGGAACTATATTTTTCCGAAAGTGCTAATTTCGATCCAATCCATCTGATTGTATTTTAATTCTGTTTCCGATATCGTGCGGCAAGCTTGAAATAGTTCAGTTTTTCCAAAAGCTGGATGTATTAATATTGTCTTATATCTTTCCAATAGTTGTACTAATTTGAAATCAAATTGTTTATTATGCAGTCAAATACGGCATTGAGCCTGCAACAAGAGACGAGATTAAAGCAGATGGGTGCAACGGTGAGGAATGCTTCTTCTTACATGGAGAAATTGAGGATGAACGAGAAGAGAGAGAATTTAGCGAGAAATGTGATGAATAAAATGTCGGTCGAACAGTTATCCGATCTTATGTCTTTCTACCACATGATGGGTCAGATTTGTTCGGAGGTGTTGGAAAGAAAGCTTACCGGCATTGTCAATGAACTCACATCCTAATATATATATATATATACACACACAAATGTTTGGTCCCCATGCTTTGTATTTTGCGTGTTCCGTTGATATATTTATTATGTATTTGGTAGCCGGTCGCAAGAAAGGCGGATAGTTTTATATAGACGATGTTTATATAGGTTCGGAAAAAATTGAAGTTCTTTTGTATTGAAAAGCCATTACCCTGCATTTTAATGAAAATCTAAATTTCTATTTTGTTGTGTTATCACTCTTGTTCTTATTCTTTGTAGGGTTATTTTAATTTTAGAGGTTTTAGTAAGCGCTACCCCGTGATAACTCTAATTGCTGGAAAAGTCTTTATGTAAAAATAATTAGCATTTTTACCTTCTTATCAGCAAATCGTGTGATACACGCGCGGTTGGTGCGACTTCTTGTTTTTTTATGTGAAAAGTCTCTTCTTGTTTTTTTATGTGAAAAGTCTTAAATATCCTATGAAAATCATTTTTAAATAAACATAAATTCAATTGTGCTTAAATATAAGGGTCCATGAAAAATAAACTCATCGTCCCATAAAGGGGTCCAGACAAAAAATTCTTTTACAAAAAAATCCACGCACTGTCCAAAGATGTATAAATGACTAAAATACCCCTCACATTTTAATATGCTCCAATTTTATTCTTTTAATTTAATTTAATGTAACCTCAACCCGATCCCAAAATTGACAAATTATTAAACTTTGACCCAAAACTGAATTTTGACTACAATTTCGCCCGTACGATTAAATCCAATGTCATGCGCCTACTTCAACCGGTCAAAGGATGCGACATCCAAACTCTTGGTACAAATAGGTTTCTCATCAGTTTCAATCATCCTTTGGACCGAAAACAAGCACTAGGGGGTGCCCATGGATCCTGGATAAACAAGCTTTGTTGTTCTCGGAGATCAACCCAGAATCGGACCCATCGACCATGGAAATCAACCTCCATCATCTCCCTATGAATCAACGCACCAATGACGTGATGGCCCGAATTGGTGGCAGAATTGGAGAGGTCCGAGAGCTTCTGGATAGCAAACAGATCCGTTTCGCCCAATTCGTCAGGGTCAAGGTGGCGATGGACGTGACTCACAGCATTAAGAGAGGAATGTTTCTCCATATGGTAAATGGTGATAAGACCTGGGTCGCATTCAGCTATGAACGCCTACCCAACATATGTTTTTTGTGCGGCTTACTGGGTCATGGAGATAACCGTTGCCCAAAAAGATACGAGGAAGGGTTTGAGGATCCGGGCGAGAATTTTCCTTATGGCAATTGGTTGAGAGCGTCTTTCAACTGGGAGGATACCACCCTGAAACTACCCCTTCAATCCGTCAACCCTATGATTAGGCACGCGTGCTACATAGACGTCTTTGAACGGACACATAGACGTCACGTGAGACACGCGTGCCATTTCCGTCGAAGTTAGCTGCCGACATTAACGGCAGAACATAAAGTGATCAAAAGTGGCAAGTTTGAGGACATATTTCGTGGATTGAAATGTTTAAGGACATAAATCATTTTAGTGGTAAAGTTTAGGGACATAAACTGTAATTTTCCCTAATTTCGAAATAGTAAAAACCCACCAGAGATAAATAAACTAGCAAAAAACTCCATTGTGAAATTTAGTCAACGGCACATTACCCCCTGACGCGAGATCGTGCAGCTCAATCGCGGTTTGTCCGACTAGTATTAGATTTTTTGACGTGAAATGACATAATTGCCCCGTGAAATGATCCCCAATCTCCCTTCTCCGTCTCTCCCTCTCTTCATCCCCTTCACCTCAAAAATTTAAGATTCCGACGGAAAAAAATATGCAATACATTCACACCGCCATTGAGAAAGAAAAAGACCTAAAAACTCGAGCTCGCAAGACTCTGCCTCGAGAGGAATATTCCCTTTTTGGGAATATGCCGCGGGTCCCAGATCCTAAATGGTGCTTGTGGGGTACCCTTTATCAAGACATTGGTAAAGAACTCGAGAATACCCCTTTGGATGAATGGTTTAGTGATTCTGTTTGAGGATGGGAGGAAGGATATTTTTGTAAATAGCTATCATCATCATGGGGTTAAAAATTTGGCTCGGAGATTTGTGCCTATGGCTTTTGCTTCGGATGGTTTGATTGAAGGTTTTTACGATCCCGATTTTTATAGTCCTGCAGAAAGTTCTTAATGGGAATTCAGTTTCATCCAGAGAGGATGAGGAGAGAGAATTCCGATGAATTCGACTACCCTGGTTGCGCTTTTGCCATAAGGTTTTTATTTTATTTAAAATATTTGCTGGTTTAAGCTGTCAGTGCACCTATATGGTTGACTGCGGGTTCCTTCATTACAAAAATAAAAATAAAAAATTAGGTAAATTATGAGTTTAATTGAAAAAAAAATGGTGGGGTTGTGGAATTCTTGCAGGAGTTTATAAAAGCAGTTGTTATTATCTATCAGTAAAGGCTTAACAGCTTGACAAATGTGCCGAAGTCTCTGAAGTTTGAAGGAGAAATTGAGAAGAGACGAAAAGTTGTTATTCGGAAGTTTTTGCTTACTAGAAATGTACACAAAAGAGACCGTCGGAAAACAATTCTTCCGTAATTTATCGACGATTGTAGCTAATTACTTGAAATATTTGAAATGAGTGGCGGTAGGATTCGAACTCAGGATCTTTTCATTTGTCTGATTCTGATACCATGTTTAATGACAAGCTCAACAAAAAACTTAAGTTATTAGTGAAATGTATTATTTAATATTAATATCTCCAACATTTTTATTTATATATTTTTTAATCTACTACAATTTGCAGTTGTGGTAATTTCTCATGTTTTGAATAGTTGCACTAATGTATTAAATTTTGTGTATTTGCAGTCAAATGGAGAAATAAGCCTAAAACAAAACTCAAGAGTCAAGACTAAAGCAAGATGGGAAGATGTAAAAAATGACTGTTGAGGAATACATCTTCCTATACCTGGAAAAATTAATTGAAAAGAAACTTCAATGGGGGCAAATGACGGCCACCCCTTGAAGTAAGTTTGAGTTACGAAAAAACATCTCATGTTTGGATAATTACAATTCCGCTCATCTCAACCTATGTATTATTGTCTTACACGGTCATCCTTACGGTGTCTAATTTACCAACATAATATAATGAGGGGCTTTTTCGTAAGACAATACATAGTTGAAGGGAGTAATTGTAATTATCCGAACAATATGGTTTTTTTGTAATTTGAATTTACGAGTAAATGCTATATACTGATAGTGTAATTACTTTTATGAATTTAATGCTATTGTTCAATAAAAGTAGTCGGATCCTTCCGTGCAATTACTTTTATAAACTGTTATTCAAAATAAGAAAAATGGAAATCCCAAAATGAAATACTATAAAATATTGGGGCTCTTTGAGGAAACCCCCTCATTACTTTTTTTAATGGAGAGAGGTCCAAAATATTTCAGTCCATTTGAGAAAATTTCACACTCATTTTGAGCTATTATGCTTTCCAACTTTGCCCCCGCCCGCCACATCATAACTGGGTCACGGGCTCAGCAAATTTTTTTTTCCATTTTTCCGTTTTTTTCCCCTTCTTTTATGTACCAATTTTCTTAATCGACTATGGAGCATAGTCGATTAGCCTTAATCGACTATGCATAGTCGATTAAGGAAATTCTTTATTTATTTATTTAATTTTTTTTAATTAATTTTTCTATATCAGTATATTAATCAACTATGATGAAGCATAGACGATCAAAAGTTTGCTACTAAAAATAATAAATCAAAACTGCAAAAAAATGCAAAATAACTATATTTTACAAAAAAAAATATAAGAACATAATAATTGATTTATACAATTGGAATCAATAAACAAAAAAACCAAAAAAAATGAAGATTGGAGTCGATCAACCTTAATCGATACCAGAGCATAGTCGATTAAGAATCTGCTACTAAAAATAACATATCACAACTGCGAAAAAATGCAAAATCACCTATATATTACAAAAACAAAATATATACAAACATTATAATTGATTTATACAATTGGAATCAATAAACGAAAAATCCAAAAAAACAAAAAAAAAAAAATTGGAGTCGATCAACCTTAATCGACTACCAGAACATAGTCGATTAGCTTAATCGACTATGAATATGTATATAGTCGATTAAGGTTTCAGCTTGCGCGAAATTCTCTACACGCGCCGTTATCCGAACAAAAAACCCTAAATCTGTCTCCCCATCGTCACCACATCGCTACCACAATACACTATCCAACCAATCTCTAACAAGAATAAAATAAATAAATTAAATAATTCATACAAAAAAACACAAATTAACATTTCAATGTCCAAAAAAAAAAAAAACAAAAACGATTTAGTCATCATCTTCAACGTCGTCGGTGGAAACCACCGCCGCGAAGTACAGATCCATCACCACCCTTCACGCGGCGGCGGGAAGCGGTGACAAACACTCTCCACCGCCACCACCACCATCGGTCGATGTCTTGCTTTTCTTCCGAATTTGAGTCGAGAAGAGAAGAGAGAAGATAGAAGACGCGAAGAGAGAAGACGAGAAAAGAAGAAGAGAGAACGGCAGAAGAGAGAAGACGAGAAAATAAAAAGAGAGAACGGCAATGGGTTTGGGTATTGAAGAGATTTAATATTAGGGCAAATTACCAAAACCCCCCTGAGATAAGCCTAAATAACGAAAATCCCCCTCACGTTCTCGTAATTACGAAAACCCCCCTAACGGTTGACCGAATTTTTTTAACCGAAAACGTGAAATGTCTATTATATCCTTCTGTTAAATATGTAAAAAATAAAGGGCAAATTACCAAAACCCCCTGAGGTAAGCCTAAATAACGAAAATCCCCCCCGACATCCCTTTCACTTGATGATTTATTGCTTTTATAAATTTATTCATTACTTTGTAATTTGTATTGATAATTTGATATTATAATTTTTTTATTTTTTTTATTTATATATTTAATTGATTTTATTTATCCAGAGGAGTATTCATACGGATTTATGCTTTTAGCTTGAATGATGCATGGTTGTATTTCTCGAATTGTAAAATATTTAATTTTATATATAAAAAATAATTAAATTTTGAAATCTCATCCATTGATTTTTTTAATCCAATAAAAATACATTGTACATTCATAATGATTGATTATATTTGGGTTTAATTTAAGAAAAATAAGTATTTTGCAGACACTTATATATTTCATGAAGAGTATATATTT